CTTTACGACTTGCCATACAATATATTTGTCAAGCAAGGGTAATGTTATGATTGTGAAAAACAAGTACTGAGGAAGATGAATGAGAGATCTCGTTGGCAGCAACTTCATTCCTATAAACCCGGCTCCCATTTTTCACGGCATGTTCTTTTCACATCCCAGCTCGCTGGTTGTTTGGATCACTCTGCATCTTCAGCTTATTCAATGTGTGGTGCATTAATTCTGGAAGCTGATTTTGAACTCCTCCCCTCCTCCTAAAAAGGTTCTGCTATAGCATTTGAATCATTTGGTCCAACAGTGGGAATGCACGGATAGGCCAAATACACAACAGTGGCTGAAGGCAAGAGAGATGGGGGGAAATGTCTTCCATTGAAGATAGGAAAATATTTCTTTATGGTGTATCTGGAATAAAACAAGGAAACTATTCCCTTGCTTTTTCTTAATTTTTGACGAGGAAGGTTGATTGGTTATATATACAAAGGAGGGAAATGAGGATGATTTTTGTTGTTATTGTTTTACTCTGGGTAATTTGTTTTGAGACGGAAATCGAATCAAATGCTATAGCAAAAGCGAAGCCCATCAAATTCAAAATGAGATGCTTCTTGTTAGCAACAGTCCCTGGTGTGCATTTCCATCCTGCCATTTTGGCTTCACATACAACACGAGACTCTGACACATTGATGGGGAAAGGAAAGTTCATATGTGCATGTGTGTGTGTGTATATGCGTGTGCACACACATGCACACATCTTCTTTCGGGACAAGGGGAGGGGCATGAGGTAGAATAACTTTGGAAATGATTTTGTCAGAAGCAAGCCCATCATAACGGACAATTAAAACCTTTTACTTGGCTCAAGAGGAAGGACAACTTTAAACCAGTGCTTAGCAGGGACTGTTTGCAACTGTTATTGTTGTCTACTTTGGAGTGCATGCATTGTTTTAAAATGTCGTATTGTTAGCATGCAGGAACTGGTCATTGAAGCAGCAAAAATAACCCGTTTGCTATAAGAAGATTAACTTTTCGTTATAAGCAGTCATATCCCAAAGCAGCATATGCATAAAAAGGAAAACATGCTATTGCTTGTCATTCCTTCCCAATCAGTTTTGCACTCACATAAAATATGACATAAAAATCTAAAAGACAGACAAGCATCACCACCAAAAAAGACAAAAACAACCAACAACAGCAAAAAACAACCCAGCACTATGACCAATGAGAGGAGCAAAGACAAGACAGACACAGTTAAAAAGGAGTGTGCCTCCACATTGACAAACCTCTGAATCACAATGGCTCCAGCAAGATGCTGCCAACTGAAAGGGGGCTCCCTTGCTCAACTTCTGGAAAGAGTCCGTTTTCATTGACCCTCTGTCCGGGGTCTTAGCCTTTAAATGTTAAGGCCATTTCTGACCTTAGTTCTGGAGGGCATGTGACTTGAAGGAGGGGGTGTGAGGCAGAAATTTCCTAGGACTTTCTAAGTCTAGGGTAAGCTTTTTAACTCAAAACTGGGGAGGAGGTGTTTCCCTGGCGGCAGATGGTCCGGAAGATGGAGGCACTCTTTGTGTAAAATTACACTCTTAAATCATCACATAAAATTGCCCTAACATTAAACCATGGAACTCCCAGATTAGCAACTCCCCCACCCCCAAATTTCTATTACCCTCTCTAGCTTACTAATCTTTCAATTTTGTTTCAGTAGATCATAGATATTCTAAACCACTCATAGTCTATTTCATTTTCTTCGGGATTGTTTTCTAGAGTTGAGGTAGGTTGAAAGGTTAATTCCAGATATCCTCAAGTTAGGTGTCAACAAGCAACTTTGAAGGTTTTAGTCTTCATTTAAGACAGCAGGAAATCACGTTATCTACTCTTGGGCAACACAAAGTGCCCCGCACTCCTATTGTTTCTTTTCTTTTTTGTGTGGCCTCCTTTTCCAAATCCCAACCATCAGAAAGCTTTTCCCAAGATTGCAAGAGTCATAGTCAGTAGATCTATGAGGACATCTAGTGGATTGGTATGGAAGGGCAGCTAGTGAACAGACACCAGAACTAGGACTTTCTCTGAGGGAGAGCAGAGGAGTTTGCTATCCCAAAGGACTGAAATGTGTGAAGAGTCCTTTCCATTTGATTGCTTCTTAAAATCCATGGAGTATGTGGAGCGCCCCTGGTGGAGAATAGCGAGAGGTCCTGTGATGAGCAAACCCTCTGTGGCCGTGGGTCAGTGTAGAGCAGGGCCACTTCATCAATGGGCCGCCAGGTCCCCTGGAAGCCGTGCTGCAGCTTCTTCAGACAAGAAGCATTCTAACGTGTGTCTCGGGCAGATGTGAATACTGCAGCTACTTGTCCTTCCATCGTAGAGTTCTTGGAGTTTATGCAGATAAACACATAAGCAGACTTAACTCTGGGAAAACAGCTATAGAACGCTCGGGGGGTGCTGTTTTCTCATTGGCCCGCCTCACAAGGTCCTTGCTCTTGGACTAGTGCCACATATGGATATAGGTTATGCGGTCGCCAAGCATGAGACCAAGGGTCTCACTCCCTCCCAAGAACTCTGTCTTGACCATTTTAAAATTTGAAGGCTTTTATATGCTTTCCTTTACCAAAATCAAGTGGCTATCCATCCAATAATTCCACTAGGACTTCCTAGTAGTATTACACAGGCAACACAGGAGGATTTCCTTCGTAGGCTTCATCAATGCTTTCTTACTGGTGTGTGTTCTAACACCCAACATTTTTCAAGAGTTGTCTTGAATCACCATTCCTACATTCCCAAGGGAGGTGATCACGGAACCAAAGCCCACAGAAAGGTGGCTGTTCCAGTGAACGCTCTGTTCTAGAAGTACACAGACGATCCACTGTCAAAGTCAGGCTCTCTGCTGGTCAGCCCTTCCAAGCCACACCAGGAATGGACGGCAGGGTTGGAGTCCACCCTGTCCTCGCCACCATCTGCCTCCTGCATCAGCAGCCAAATTGTTCAATCGATTTCCAATTACAGAGTCTTAATGTCCAGGGTGGACTGGAAGGGGCAGGAAAAGTAGAACTTGACTAAGTGGCTCAGGTGGAGTTTTCCAAGTATTGGGCGGAAATATTTTAGATTTCAAATAGAGCACATGTGAGAGAACACTGATGTGGAAGGCAACAACTCTCACAGTCTTTCAACAAATACTCTTTTCAGATCAGAACCATGGGTTTCAAATCTATCCAGTGAAGGAAGGGTTATTTCCAAGCATAAATCCTAGAGCTGGTCTGAATATACTAGTCAACAACTAAAATTATAATATATATATATACATATATGTGTGTGTATATATACATACATATATATATACGCACACACACACAAGAAAAAGTCCACTGAGGTTTAATGAGGCATTTGCTTGAAGGGAGAATTTTCTTGCAAGTCAAATTCCTCCCATTCACTTCTGTAGGGAGAAGAAAGTTCTTCCATGTAGTTTTCCAAGAACAAAAAGAGGGAAAGGGAAAAGCCAGTTCATGTCAGCAGCACAGAGCAGACAGACTTCACTGACCCCAAAGGAAAACATATTATAGTTGGGGAAGGCAGAGGGATTTGGCACTGGATTTGTTTGCTGATTGGCATTAAATGTCCCTCCCAATTCTGAACAAATCACTAAATGCCATAGGCAGCTGTGCAGGCAGAAAAGTGGCCCACACACTCAAGTTATCCTCAGAGATATTCTGTAAATGAAGGGAGTTAATGTTGACTGAATTGAAGAATTGTGTGCTGAATCTACACTCATTGTTTTACTCTGCTTTTACATTGGGCTTCCATATCCTTTGACCTCCAAACTCTGCAAGATGCCTCCTCAAGCCAGAGGAGTAATTGCAAAGGAAGGTGAGTAGACTGAAACATCTTTTCTACTTCCCCGCCCATTGGGAGCACTGGTCTGCCACGTGAATGCTGTTTTCTGTGAGGTTTCATGTGTATAAATAACACCCTTCTGGCCATTATTGGTGTCGATGACATCAGCGGCGCTCTAAGTTATCCAGAGAATTCCTTCCATGTCCTTCTTCAATTGCCAAGCTTGTTGGATAACATTTTGGGTAACAAAGGCAGGGGCTCAGACACTTCACTTTACTGGCTCAAACTTACACATACTCTTTAATGAGATGGGATGTTCACCTTGAGCCATCTTTACAGCCTTGACTAAGTAAACCCATCTTTTAAGATGCCAGACTCATACCCCTAAAGGAACTGGGTATATCTTAATAGGTATTTACTAAGAAATATACTTTATTTTTGAGCAAGGGAACTTCATGCACTAGAGGGAATTATTACCACTATGGAATGCTTATCTCTAGCAAAGCAGTGTAGATATTAATGTTTCCAAATTTAGTAACACAATTCACTCTCTACCAAATACTATCTCAAATAGAGAAGCATATATTTGGTAACAAATACATCACTCTCTCTATATACTACCTCTATAGTTATATATAAAAATAGACAATTTTACATAAAAAGTACTGATATATGTCATATATATCATAATATATGAATATATAGAGCATATGTTTCCTTCAATATAGCAATTCAAACTCAACATGAGGAGACCAAGCGTACTTTCTCACAGGCAAGCATAGCATGATCTCCAATTGAGTAGGCATCTAGAGCTGAAAGAATAATTACCAAAGCCTAATCACCGTCCTAAGGGCTGGAGAAAAGAGTGTCAAGAGAAACTCTGCTGTCAAGGTCTTATTTTCAAATGGAAAATAAGACAGGGCCAGAAGCTGGCAGGAGGCTGCGGGTGGGTGAGGTATGTGTCGAGTGAATGAACAGAGAGTCGTCTCCCTGCCACACTCTGGAGCCCCGGGCCACTCTGGACGATGCTGACGGATGAGGAAGTCAGGGGCATGATGTCACTGCTACATGCAACATAAATACCAAAAGGAAATGAAATTGAAATTATACAGAAAATAAAAGGAGTATCTCTTCTAGAGAAAGACATGGGGACTGGACTTTGGGCTGCTGGGAACCGTTTTACTCACAATATATCACTACCAGGGTGCAGTTAAAACAGAGTGGGGCCGAATTCCAAGGCAGCAACGAGAAAAAAATAAATCAAAAAGATGTCAATGATTAGAAGTTAAAGAAACTCTCTTCTAACACATAAATGTAGACATGCCTTGTCCCCTAGGGTTCCACCCTGTGGCAAACTGTTCAAAGCTGGCGGGTGGGTTGGGGGGAAGAATGTAAATCATTAGATCAGGTTCTTTACACAGAAAAAGGAAATGGGTAAGGAGTATGGTGTAAGAGCTTGCTCCTTGGCCAGACAGCTGAATTTGACTTTCATCCTTGATGCAGAGCTATGAAGAAATGGAAAGAAATGCAAATGTTAAACTATACTACCACAACATTTTTAGAAATGTGCACATGGAATGTGCACACTTGTTATTTCTCTGGATAATACAAATATGACATGAGACTTTTAAGGTTATTGAGTGAAAGCGAATGGGGGAGGGGGAGTTTGAAGAGGGAAGATGTGGTGGGAAGAAGAGGATTACCTGTAGCTAAAGCCCATGGACGTTATTAGCTCTGTCCTCGTGGGGATAGCTCATTCCAAGGTGGATTTTAATATCTAGTCTACCTAACAGATGTGAGCAACTGACCAAGTAGACTGGCTATCCTTATGGACCTAGACAGTGTCCCAGGCAATGTGACTAGATCAATGGTCAGTAACAGAGGATCTTCTATTTACAGTCTTTTTGCCACTAAAACACATATTCCCAAATTTTCTCACTTGTTTACTCTGCATGGGGATGCTTATTTTCAGCAACGTGTTTTACTCTAACTACCACTTCCCCACCAATGCCACATGTATCTGCATCCCTCTCCTTGTAATACGGGTTGCTATGGCTTTTAATCAGGAAGAACGTTAATGGAGGGAATCGGGTTGTTACTGAATATTAAAAAGGGGGCAGCTGAGCCCCTCTTTATGGAAGAACCTGAGAGGCAGAGTGCAGGGAAGAACTGGAGAGACCAATTTTATTGGGCTTATCTTGATAGAGGCAGTTCATTTGCAGGAATCTGCACCATTTATGACCAAATAGCATACGTTTCACTAGCTGAAACACCTTTAAGGGGCACTAAGAGAATAAGATTGTTTTATTCTCTCTCCAAGATATATGCCCTCTCTCTCCAAGATTAAGTGAGACATATGCTGATTACTGGCTTAGAATCAAGATGGAAAAATACCTATGGGGGCCACACCCTAATTTCTAGGGACTTCAAAAGTAGCCTGCTACATTCCACTGGTTTACAGTAGACTGAATGGGACATTGCAGTCGTCTGAAAGCAAGAGGCCAAGGAACCCTCACTTCATCTTTCTGCTTCCGCTCTTGACAGATAAGAGTTTTCCTCTATTCATTTATCAAGGAGATTTTTAAAAAAAGAAGCCTCAATGCCAATTCCTTGGTAAACCTTCCAATTGCTTCTTATTATCCGGCTACGTCCCAAGTGTTTGGTGCTGTTGGTTGCCATCAAGCCGGATCTGATGCGTGGTGACCTCATGTAGATCCGAGCAGAACTGCTCTATAGGATTGTCAAGGTTGCGACTTTCAGAAGCAGATAGTCCATCTGTTTTCTCGGACACCTCTGGGTGGGTTTACAAGACCCAAGAACTCCCACCAGGGCCTATACAATCCTATAGAATTGTATAGTGGCCCTTGTAACCCACTCGCTCGTTGAATCCTACAGGTTCCAGTGGCTTTCCTTCCATCCCTCAAATACTAAAACCTCACATCCACCTCTTGGCTCTTCCCTGACCCTTCTTTCTACTTGTACTTAAGTCTCAGCTTCAAGGCCACTTCCTTGACTTTCCTGACTAAAGGGACATTCCCACGAGGTTCTCTGCAACTTCAACTTCTCTCCTCTGCAGAGGCTGTATTTTCTTTAGAGCCCTGATGTCTGTCTGGATTCATTTATTTGTGTTTATGATTATGGTTAGTCCCCGTCCACTAGACTGCAAGCCCAGAAGGGCCAGGACTTTGTCTTGCTCACCATTCTAGCCTCAGCACCATTCACACGGCTTCAGCAAGGAGGGCCCTCAATCAATGTGATTGGATAATTACTAAGTAAATCATAGCCTTGCCTTTTATTTCTATTCCAGGAGGAACACATTCTTGGCTATTGTGTTGCCACAGATTATTGTCCTCAACACTTTCCTGCATTCTCCGCAAGAGTGTTCACCTTGCTGCATTAATCACTCTCTCTCGTTTCCCTTCACCCGCAGAATGTTGCTTTTCTGCTGAAGGAATTGGCCCAGGAGATGCCAGATCAGCAGAGTTGGGCCTGAAGCGCCTGTGTTCACAGTCCACATAATAGCACTAGGTTTGCCTGCTTTGTGAGAAGCCTGGTGTTGTAGCAGTGGTGGTGTTGGCTGGAGATGGGATTTGATCCATGCCATATGCTTCCTTAGCTACTTTTCATTGACTAACAGAGCTCCCAAATTCCTAAACCCAGACATTTAGAATCTCTTATTCGTATTAATCTAAGAGATCAAACATCATATTGTCAGATAACAGAGTGGAGGAGGGACATGGGGTTAAGACAGTGGGCAAGGGTTAGCAGCATTTATGCCTATGCTACCTCAGATTTGGGAATGAGACTAAAGAGATTCCCAGAGATACTAAGAGGGCTTCTCATGATCATTTTCCCCAGAGACGGGGTGTCTTCTCTGGGACTTTAAGACAGGGACATTTCTATCTTGCTGTGTTTTCATTCACTGTGGCCCCTCTGCAAGTGCAGTGAAAAGTGTCTTCACTTTCTTAGCATGCCCTAGAAAGGCTCTTTGCTTTGGCTGGTTCTATTTGTGCACAGTATTTTATAAATAATCTTTCATAGCTGTGTTCTTACACAGCAGACTCCACAGAACCTATCCTGGAAATGATCACCCCCCCCCTGTAAAAATAAATTGGGGAGCTCTGAGAATAGGATCAAGGAAGGCCCTGGCCGCTGGCTTTGTGAGCCTTAGCAATCCCGTATTCTTATTATAGCCTCAGTTTATTCTTTTGTAAAATGGAATTAAAAACAGCCCTTACTAATTACAAAGTGTTGAGAGTATCACAGCAAATAATAATCCTGAAGACTCTTTAAAATACTGTCTCATCATAGGAAGTACAGCATCATTATCACTGTTATCTCTAGTAAAAAAGTTTGATTAAGCAATGCAGTCTAATGAATGCAAAAGGCCTAGCCTTCTCAAAGCAATGTTCACTGGCAGCCACAGTTTCTCTGGAGCTCACAATCCAATTACTTTCTCTTGCCATATCTTTATCGTGAGTCCCCATTGCAAGCTATTTAGGTAGGGGCTTAAGCTCTGATGGCACTGTCAGGTCAGCATTAGACGACTACCCCTAAGTTAAACTGTTACAACCAGAGAAAGAGAATGCTGTCTGCTCCCGTATAGATTTGCAGCCTGGGAAATCCTACATATGGTCACTAGGCATTGGAATCAACTTGATGGCAATCGGTTTGGTTTTTGCTTCTGTTTTTTAGATATGCCAGAATCTATCAAGCACAATCTAGTTTACCCAAAAAAACAACGGGCTCTGAGGCTGGTCATTGAGACAGACAACTATTAGGGAAGCCTATTGTTGATGGAAAAGTTCTTTCCTGGGGTCAATTTGAGGGAATTCTAATAGAACACTCTGATATTTGGTACTAAAACCTATAAGAACCCCAAAGGAAAGAGAACCCGCTTCCATTTGGGAGACTGGGCCCCTAAACTGTTTGTCTCTGTTACCATGGGCATGTTTCCCATCGTGCCACGCTCCCATCCACTAGAAATCTCCCTACAAAAACAACCGGGCTTCCACCGGGCTTTCGCTTTCCTTCTTGTTATACATCATCTTGACTATATTCAACTGGTCACATCTAAGTAAGTGCTTCTTTAGGATCACGGAGTGGAAATTAGATGCTAGGGCCTCTCCGGTGTTAGGGGGGTGATTTTTCACCCCCTGTGCTAAGAAGGTGAGAACAGGGATTTATTTCACATCTTTTTAAAGCGCTAGTGCAACATAAACATGTCCGGGGAAACCCTTGCTCTGTAGTATTTCTCAAGTCGGAACGGGGGAAGGAAAGCAAATGTGGGGAAGAGAGACAGAGAGGGAACGGGGGAAGAAACGCCACTTACGCCGTTTGCAGCCGCATTTTTTTATTCTTTTGGGATCTGTGATGTCATCATGACAGGCCTTGCAGTAAAAAAATGCCCTGGAGAAAGAGAACGGAAAAACTGACACATCTCATAATCCATCCGACTGAAATGAGTACCACATTTCCTCTGCTCTGGTGCCAAATTAATGAAACAGGCCAGGACTGATTTCCTTTAATCTTTTGAAAGGTTTAGACATTTACAGACCAAAATGTTTGTTGCAAGCCCACTTATTTCAAACATAGGCCGGGGTGATTTGAGTGAGTGCTTCTTTGAATAAACTTCGTACGACAAGGAAGTGGGGGAAAGGTTGCTGATGTGACCCATGGGGTCTGCTTGCTTGTCTTTCCTTGTGGACAACAGCTTCCACTGCTGCTCCTGGGAACATGTGGGGAATCTGTCCAGGGCCCCGGGGAGGAGGGGAGAGGGAGCGGATATCCACCTCCCACCTCGGAAATCCTCGCAGTATGGTCAAATATATATTAAAAGGGGCTGAGGGTGACACAACCATGACACTCCTCAGTCAAATAAGAATGCTATCTTGGCAATTGATCCTTGGAAAGCCCTTTTTCTTGTCAGCCAAAGGGAGAAATGGTTGAGGATAATGGAGAAGGAAAAAGAAAAGGGATGAGTCAAGCAGTTGCTATGCCAAACTCTCCGGGATTCTGGAGGCGGGGTGGGAGGTGGGGGGCTGGGGGTGGGGGGGGTGGGGGAGTAGAGGTGACCTAGAGGAGGCAATTCCCACAAACATGTTCTTATGTCAATATGTTTTATTGACATATAATTCACATATCACACTACTCAATAGTTAAATCTTGTCTTATAAAAATAGTTGTATAATCATCACCACAATCAATTTTAGAACATTGTCTTCTTTCTTTTACTCATTGTTATTAGCTCCCCATCCCTACCTCCCTTCTCCTGTCATATCCCCAAGAAACCACTTATTCCAGTTACTGTCTCTATGGATTTACATATCCTGGATTTCATATGCAGAAAGCATACCAAAAAACCAACAACAATTAAAAAATAAAATAGAACAAATCTTATTCAAAAAGAAAGCAGAAAATGTTAGAAACTGGAACAAATTTAAAATGGGTCAAAAGGGAGCTCAAGTGATAAGGTGTTACATTTTAGGCTAACTGCATCCTCAGTGATCCACTTTCTTTTTTTTTTAACTGTTTTTAATCTTTATTGATAATATTTGAGTTGTAACAATAGCCAAATGCATCCATAGCAAAGTTTTCAAACAAATAACAAACAGAATTGGTTGGTGGAAAATACAGTAGGCATACACTCTTACAATTTTTACAAATAACTTTGTCCGCCTAGAAATATAATCTGGCTGCAGAGCCTTGTGCATTTATCAACCAGAAATTTTCTTTTTTCTTTTTTGAAATCACTTTATTGGAGCCTCATAGAGCTCTAACCACAATATATACACCCATCCATTGCGTCAGTATGTACATCTTAAAGGGCATTTCGCATGGGTAGAGGCTGCCGTCTCTCTTCTCCATTACTCTTACTCACACCCCTCTCTTTTTGTTCTTTGTTTAAAAAATACTATTCCTGAATCCCTGGTCTGTGGTCAGAGGAGATTCACCAGCGGTTTCAAACACATGTATTTCCCCATCTTGTTTTTTTAACTGAAGCCACTCTAAAATGCAGAGATCAAATAATAAGGTCTTACATTTGTATGACATCAAAGAGTCAGAGATAGGGTCTCGATGACACACACTAAGATTATTTAAACCTATGCAAGATGGACAGTGCCTAGAAGATTAGCACCGGAGGACTGAGCTGGTCCATGGGAACAAGTTTGCAACCTCTGGACATCAGAACAAACAAAATATTTGGTTTAGCCTTCAGCCTTTCCAGCATGAAACTGAAGGCCAGAAAAAACATGTTTCCTTAGCCAGTGATTAAAAAAATAAACATCTCTTTATCATCTTATTCCCAGGTATTCCTTTTGTTAATATTTTTTCACAGGACATGCATTTATGATTGACTCCCGTTGGCAACCACGATTAAAGCATTTAGATCTGGAAGAGATCTTGTAGCTAATTCCCTGGGAGTCAGTATCCCCATCTGTCAGCTGAAGAGGCTGTTATGATGTGCCTCAAGCCAACCAGTGGTGGGGTTTGGCAAGTCCTGGGACTGCTGAATCCCAGCCCAATGCTCTTGCAACTACAGCAATCCCTTCCCTATGTCTGTATATGCCACTGTCATTCATGTTGCAAACCAAACAAAGTTGGTTGTTTGCTTAGAGTGAGAATGTGGCTAAGAAACCACCCAGTGGTGATCTGCTTTGAAAGGAAGAGGACAAAGTAACCAAGTGCAGAGCAGCAATTTTATTTTGACTTCCTTGGTCATACTGTCCCCATTTGATGCTTTTATACATAATAATGGTTGCAACAATAATAACAGTCAACATTAATAGAGCACAAGCTGTAAGTCAGGCACTTTTGTAAGTGTTTTATTACGATTAACTTATTTGATCTTCTAACAACCCTTTGAAGGAGATATGCTTATTATCTATACTTTACATCTAAGAAAACGATGTACAGAGAGGTTAAGTGATCCGCTCAAGGTCACACAGCTACAAGTGACAGAGTGAGCATTTAAATCGGTGTATGGATCAGCTCCTAACCAAAAGGTTGGAGGTTGGAACTCACCAATCATCCCGTGGTAGGAAAAGCAGGGGGTGTGCTATGATAACGACTGAAACCTCGGAATGGCTGTGGTTTCTAGTCTGTCCTGCGGGATCACTCCGAGGGAAAATCAACACAATGGTACACTGTCAGTCTGGTATGTCAGAATCAACTCAAAGGCAAAGTGTTGTTGTTGCTGCTGTTGCTGTTGTCATTTAAGTTCATACTAAAGAGATATGTCCAAACATATTGCTGAAGTACCATTATATTACACAACACATTTTGATTCCTAAAGTGAAATTCCCACAGGTGCCAGGCAGTTGGCTCATGAGTGAAATAGACTGAGTGTAGTAGCGATATATCCTCCAACCATAAGGAGCAGAACGTCTAGGCTCTCTGATTTTCACTATGCGGCACTTTTTGTTAGTAACCTTCTCCCCCATCCCTTTCTGACTCTGCCACGTTCAACCAACAAAGCCCTGCCTTCCGTTTTCTCTCCTGCACCTGAGCAATGGAGGGTTCTCTGGTCTCCGTGGTACTTAACCAGTGGGAAGAGTCAGGAGGAAACTGAAAGGTGGGAAGGGGTGAATTTGTGGTATTTATTTCCTGGCTCTTTCCCGTCAGGTCATAAAATGGGAGTGGCAACATTTCTCTACAGAAGACCACAGTTTCTGCCAAATGGTCTTTCACTACACTGTCTCTCTACCTCAGTGGTTCTCAACCTTCCTAATGCCATGACCCTTTAATACAGTTTATAAAACTATTTTCAATGCTACTTCATAACTGTAATTTTGCTACTTTTAACAATCAGGCAACCCCTGTGAAAGGATCCATTCGACCCCCAAAGGGGTCGCCACCCTCAGGTTGAGAACCGCTGCTCTACATGCCCTTCCATCCATTCTGCTCAACACCTGCTCTGTCACGAGCTCTGGGGACTTTGTGATTCCTGACCTGTGCCCGTAACTCTACGGTGCCTTTTCATAAAATTCTTCCCCTCCTGCTTCTCCTGGGTAATATGTGCCTTTGTTTCTTACCAGGAGCCTCATTGTTCCAGTTATCCATCTATGCTGGTCAGTCCTCTCCAAGTCCTCGTGGCCTGATAGGACAGAGTCGAACCGCTACACGGGATTTCAGAGACTACATCTGTGAAGGCGTAGACCGTCTCACTTTTCTCCTAAGGAATGGTGGGTGGGTTTGAACCCCTGATCTTGGAGCTCACAGCCAAAATACCCACTGCTCTATCGGTGATGTTGCTGTTGTTATGAGGTGCCATCAAGTCAGTTCTGACTCCTAGCGACCTGATGTCCAACAGAATCGAACACTGCCCAGTCGTGCACCATCCTCACAGTTGTCATACTGGGGCTCATCATTGCAGCTACTGGGTCAGTCAATCGTGTACAGGGCCTTCCTTTGTCACGGCCTCTCTACTTGAACCAGGATCATGACCTTGTCCAGGGACCAGGTTAGTCCAAGTCTAGACCACCCTTTGTCATCAAAACTATCCTGCCTCGGCCATATTGTCTTAGTTTGAAGTCTTCAACTGATTCTCACCATAAGGAAATTTCCCTGGATGTTTCATTTTCCCTTCTGATCTTTACATGATATTTTTTCCTCATCTCTATTTAAATGTCACCTGTTAGAGCAGTCCCCACTTATACTCAGCCTAAATCAGTAATATAATACTTTGTACCATCAACAAACAAAACCATCATTTGATTCTCTCTAGACTGTGAGCCCCCATGAGAGCAGAGAAACATATTTCTTGTTCCCCATTATATATAACCTCAGAAACTACAATAGGGCCTAGTGAAAGCGCCCTTGTGGGCATATGTTTAAATGCTTGGCTGCTGACCAAAAGGTTGGTGGTTCAAACCCACCTAGCAATTCCATGGGAGACCTGAAGATATGCCTCTGTAAACAGGACAGCCAATAGTGGTCTATGGGAGAGTTCTGTCTGACACATGAAGTCTCCGTGAGTTGAAATGAACCCCATAGCACCTACTAACACCAACAGTGAGACGTCTACAGATATTAACTGAGTGAATAAATATGAGGATGAGGCCCCATAAAGCCAATCTTTCAGAAACCAGTAATAAGAATTTTATATAAAAGCTCGTGACTTCCCATCTTATCAACTAGATCATTTACTTTTGAATTGTGAATCAAAAGAATCATGCCTGGAAGCCAAACTTAATCTCTGACCTACCAATATGTGGATCTACAATAAAGACTATGTTCCAAGGTTAATAAAAAGGGAAATGTTTAGTGGCAAAAGGCAATGGACAAATGTCTCAAAACCCATTCCAAAGTGACCTTTTAAAAAGCTAGAACGATGACTTTATTCTTCTCTGGTGGATTTTCTTTCTTTATATCACTGAGAGTGTAACTCAATCTTGAATCATCACAATCTACTTTTCCATTTTTACGAGACTTGTTTCATTCAAATCTCCAATGTCCTTTCTGTGGTTTTCTGCAGTCTTCATCTATTTGAAATTCCCTAACTGCAAGCATTTGCCCTGACACATTACACACCACAGAAAATTACAGGCTTGTGTTGTAACTGATTGTGTCAGCATGTATGTGTGAATCCCATAAAGCACTGAAATGAGACATATTGCACTCCCTAATATCAGAGGTAATTTGTTTTTTGGACTGCTTGGTATTTGTGACGTTCATTAGTGAGAAATGCAATAGGAAACAGAATCACACAAATGGGAGCTTCATGCTATATTTGCTCTCTGGGAGGTGCATGTGATCTAGGAGGCAGCTGAGCTCCCCAGCCGCCTGTATTTGGGGCTAAGATGCTGCTTCTAGCATCTAAGTTTCCTGGTGAGGACGTGAATCCGACCTTGCCGGCCAGAGCACCAGTGACCTCTCTGAGATGCTCTTCTCCCACATCTGGATAACAGTAGTCTTTCCCTAGTTTACAGAATTCAACGTGAGTTATTAGTTCATTTGTCAGGATTTGTTTTCCTTCTTCTCCTTCATCTCATCGAGGCTCTTCCTGGTTTTCACTGACCTTATCCTTTACTAAGCATGCTCTCCTTTTCCAGGGACTGGTCTCTTCTGGTAATACGTCCAAAGTCCATGAAACAGCATCTCACCATCATCCTTGCAGCTGAAGGATATTCTGGCTGCACTTCCTCCAAGAGCGATTCGTTTGTCCTTTTGGCCGTCCGTGGTACCCTAAGTATTCTTCGCCAGCACAATCCAAATGCTTCGATTCTTCTGCCATCTTCCCTATTCAAGGTCCAACTTTCACGTGCATATGAGGCAATTAAAACTATTATGACGTGCATCAGGTGCACCTTAGTCCTGACAGTGACATCCTTGGGTTTGTCAACACTCTAAAGAGATTTTGTGCAGTGGATTTACCCAATTCAATGTGTCCTTTGGATTCTTGACCGCTGTTTCGATGAACACTGATAATGGGTACAAGCAAGAATGAAATCTTGGACAACTGCAAAGTTGTTTCCATTTATCATGCTGTCTAGTCATGAGGATTTTTGTTGTCTTTACATTTAATTTGAATTCAATTGTAATTAAATTTAATCTAGGCTACAGTCCTGGAACTTTACCAGCAAGCACTTCAAGTCCTCTTCCAAGTTGTGTCATCTAAATATGACAGGTGATTAGTAACCCTTCCTCCAGTCCTGATGCCACTTCTTCTTCAGAGAGTCCAGCTTCTTGAATTATTTGCTCAACGTATAGATTGAATAAGTTTGGTGAGAGGATACAGCCCCAGATGCACACTTTTCCCGATTTTAAACGACCCAAAATTCCTTTGTTCAGCTCAAATGATTGCCTCCTGATTCATGTGCAGATACCATAAGAGCACAATATAGCAGTGTTCTGGAATTCCCGTTCTTCTCAATACCATTCATAGTTTGTTATGATCCACCCAGCTTTGCATAATCAATAAAACAAGTAAATATTTTTCCTGGTAATCTTTGCTTTCATTCAAGATTCATCTAATGTCAGTAACGATATTCCTTGTTTCACGTCCTCTTCAAACCCCAGCTTGAATGTCTGGCAGCTCCCTGCTAATGTATCTCCGCAACGGTTGTTGAATGACCTTCAGTAGCGTCTTACTTGTAGGGGAAATTTTATTGTTTGATCATTTCCACATTTCTGTTGGGCCACCTTTCTTTGGAGTGAAGACACACATGGATCTCTTCTTTCAGTGAGGTGGAGTGGCGCAGGAGCTGCTACGGTGGGCTCAAATCCAACAGTAACTGTGAGGATAGCCCAGAACTAGGCAGTGTTACAGTCTGTTGTAACTGGATTGCTGAGTTGTAACCAACCTGAAGGTACCTAACAAACTTGTCTCCCAGCCCATGTTACCTTGTTCACCCCGGAAAGCTATTGTAACTGGTATGACTATTTTTCTAGAGTAGAAGAGGAAAAAATTATAAGCATCAGTTGTAACATGCCACATTTTTACGATCGGTTTGTCAGGTTCACTTTTTTGGCAACCTTCTGGGGTCGCCGGTCGTTGAAACTAACTTGAAAGCAGTGGATTTTGGATTTTGGGGTTTTCAAGAACAAGGCTCTGGAAGTGAATTTTGAGATTCAACCCTGGTGAAACCACTCATTAGTACTGGGACTTTGGGCAAGTGACTTAATTAATTTGCATTTGCTCATCATTGATTTCCTCGTCTATAAAATAGAGATACTGCTACCTGGTTCATAAGTTTATTTAGAGAATTCATTGAGTGAATGATTATGAAATGCTTAGTTCTTAAAACAAGGAGACTTGGGGATACAATGGTGAAGTACTAGCTTGCTAAACACACAAGCCTGACAGGTTAGACACACTCCGTGACCTCATGGGAGAAAAGAGGGGGCCATCGGCTCCCATGAAGATTGTATCCCAGGACACTGTGTGGGCAGTTGTCCTTTCTCAAACAGGGTCACTCTGAATTGGAACTACCTTCATAGTACAGAATAACAACAGAATTGAGAAGACTGACAACATATAGTAACTCCTGCACAAGGTTTTCTTGATTTTATAAATAAAGACACCAATACTCTAAGGGTTTTACCTGACAGGTTACCTTCAAGGATTATTTAGAACACTAAAGCATGTAGAATAACTAAAACAATATCTGACTATGAGTGGGAACTCAATGAATGAGGCAATAGCCTTATGTAAATAATTACAGGCAGTCCCTGACCTTTAATGCATTTAAGTCAGGCAAACTGCATTTTTGAGCATCTCTTTTGGGGGTGGGTGGGTGCTGTTTTTGCATTGTTGTTGTTGTACACCTTGTTAGCAATATACATTACAATGCTGTAGCACATAATTTGGTGATGCTTTCATTTCTCATGCCAATCCCAAAAGGCAAATACAGACCCAATTTACAAAAACACCAATAACAAAAGGCAATAATAAGGAAACAAACAAACAAAAACAGAACCGACTTATAATGGAGTCATTTGAGTTGGAATCCCACTGTAAGCCAGAAACTACCTGACTGTACCTATACAATTAATAATTTATATAAAATATTTTATGATCATTATTTTTCAGCTGAGTGGTCTGACAATTTGAGTAAAATTTCCTGCTAATAAGCTTTTAAATAGAGCAGTGGTTCTCAATCTGTGGGTCACAGCCCCTTTAGGGGTCGAACGACCCTTTCACAGGGGTTGCCTGATTCATAACAGTAGCAAAATTACAGTTATGAAGTAGCAAAAAATAATAATTTTATGGTTGGGGGGGTCCCCACAACATGAGGAACTGTATGAAAGGATCGCGGCATTGGGAAGGTTGAGAACCACTGTAATAGGTGTCGATTAGCATGCCATCTTTTCCAAGTTCCTAGGATAAAATGAAAATTGAGAATATTCCATAGCTTTCTACAAACAGGCGTACAATCTCCTAGGCTGCCTAGACAGTATTAAGGTTACTGGCCTAAATATCATAACAGGGCATCATTCCAGGGTGGCCAGTGGAATCTTGGGTATATTTATAGAAGATAGGCTGGAGCCTTCAGGCACTTATAGGAAGGCCAGAAGTATAAATATGACCAGTTCAGGGTTTCATCCGAAATTAAGCTAAGCCTTTAAAAAATTCATTTGGGTTAATCTGGTATGTAAGACAGAAACTGGTCATTCTTGAGATAATTTACGCATATAATACTACACCAGGAGCCAAGATTATGCAGTGTTATCTCACCAGTAATTTGGATGACCTAGAAGTCTTCACTTCTGCTCTCTGGGACTCATTTTTCTAACCTCTAAAATAAAGGAGCAGATAACTAAAACTTCCTAGCTCTAAACTTTTATGATCTACCTCAAACATTTGGAAACGATTATGAGAAAACGAATTCGTCGAGGCACAATACTTCCATCCTACTCTGCACCATTTGCTGTCCGTAGCCATGCGAAGGAGTGCAGGAGCTCACACCCTGCACCTGTGGAAGCGAGCGCCCGTCATTGGGTCAAGATGTCTCTGGATCAGAGAAGACAGGGGAATAAATCTTACCTTTTAACTTCTTTGGCATCACTTGCGATGAAAAATCCTAAAGTACCTTCTTGGATCTTAAGGTGGTTTCCAGGATTAATTAATATACTGCTCGTGAACAAAAACAAACAAAGAAGACACACTTGTGAGGCCATATTCTGACTAAAACAGTGAAAAGCATACTCCTCTATGGTTTTGATAGGGGGCCCACTAGTCTAATGCTAGCCTCCCAAAATGCTGGGGAACCCAAGGTCCCTGTCCACTCGTGGGCATGCTGCACTAATCCCTACAAGTTGATTCCCAAATTAGTATCATCCCAGTTCAGCAAATTGAAGTAAATCTAGATTTTTATGGCCCAGGTTTACATAATGAGGCAATCCGCTCATCATAAACCCACATTCGTAAGAATACATTCCTTTAGAAACTGCTAATGGAGGTCAACACTGATGAATTATTGATCAAATAAAGCCATTGGTATATTTATTACCTTTAGATGACAGAGCATTAATGGGAGCCCTATATGCATACATATGTATGCACACCACGTTCTCACTGTGGGAAATGGTACATGACACCCATAAGCAACACAGAAGGAACCAGACAGTGATCGGGCCCTGTGAAGACGTGGGAATAGGTTCCACACAGCCTATCCCAGGGAGCTGAAGCTAGCCTGCCAGTAAAGGGGATAAAAAGACAACAGTTGCGAATGCTTGCTGATTTCAAACTGGCACGGACAAATGTGTATGGGAATTTCTGAATTAAATGTTCACCTAGAATATTCTGACTTGGGCTACCTGTTGTTAGAAAGCAAATACAAATTATTCTAAAAAACAAAGAAACACCTTTTCCTGCAGAGGAGTATGAGTCTAAATTCATACTATCTATCCTATTTCAAAGTTGGATAAATAGATTGGCTAACTTGTGTTTGGACTGACAAAAGCGATAAATGTATCTTAATCTGATAAATGGATTTAAAAAACAGGTTTGATTTTCTGCAGATCAAAAGCAGAAGACAAGAATGTCTTACACAAGGACAAAGATGAGGCTTCGAGCTTAATGGATGCTGACTTTGGGGCTCTACATGCAACAGGGGTATTCTTTGATCTGAAATGCTGGGCTTATGGTAATCGACGTTTGGAACTAGGCTAGAGGAGGTGCTCAAATGCCTAAAACAAGCAAAATGGAGCATTTCCATTAGCATGCCATCTTTTTCTGCTGGTAAAATCATTCCAGAGAGTGGGGTAGCCACCCAAATGATGTGCCTGCAGTAATGCAGGAAGTACCCAGGTGGATTTTGTTCAGCTGAAAGATCTCAGAGTAGATCATTATTGCAAAAGAATGGCTTGTGGTCATCAAAACATCCACTATTAACTATAACAAGACTGAGAGCAGGAAACTGAACCCATGTCATCACTGTTATTAACACTAAATAATAAACAGCAAGCATCCACAAAGGTTTGACTGTTCTGCCTCAGAACCACTGGCAGGGAGGAGATTCCGCCCAAACCAAAGGGCAGCAGACTCCACTAACAGCTTTAACCAACAGCCATGCTGCCCAGTCTCCTCCTAACTACATCTTTGCCAAATCTTCACCTTGGAATAATCGGCCCTATGATTTTGCATAATCATGAGGAAGGAGCACCAAAGTTTATGCAGTTTAGATAAATTCCTTTTTCAAAGCCAATTCATCATATGTTTTAGAAAAGCATAATTCTGGGTTTGGCACATTCTTATCCTTTCCCTGTTGGCCATTCTGCACAGTTGGGCACTGGACTTAATTTCAGCATGGCCATTTTGTGGGTGTTTGACTTGAGGGAAGCTACTAATTCTCTAGAACGATGGAGCTAATGATAAAGATAAAAATGCTCCTACTTCAAGGATTAATAATTCATGTTGGTTATTGTCACTATTATTATCCATCATTACAAAAAAGCCAAAAATGTATTTGATACTCAGCGAAAGTATCTGAAAGTGTTTTAACGGGCCCTATGGAATATATCACAGGGTTGATTTCTGTTGCTGGTGTGTTGTTGTCATTGGGCTGATTCCGGCTCAAGGAGTCTCCATGTATGTAGAGTACAAGTCCTCCATAGCAGTGGTTCTCAACCTTCCTGATGCCGCGACCCTTTCATACAGCAACTCATGGTGTGGAGAACACCCAAACATAACATTATTTTTGTTGCTACTTCATAACTGTCATTTTGCTACTATTATGAATTGAGTGACCCCTGTGAAAGGGTCGTTCGACCCCCAAAGGGGTCACGACCCACAGGCTGAGAACGGCTGCCATAGAGGCTTTAAGGCTGTGACCTTTCAGAAGCAGATTGCTAGGTTGGTCTTCCAAGACTTCTCTGGGTGGGTCTGAGCCACCAACTTTTCAGCTAATAGCTGAGTGCTGAACTCTTTTGGCCACCCAGGATACTCTACCCACAATGAGATGAACCTACAGGGGGAAGAATGGTCCAATCTATGATTTTGTCCAAGCACAGACATGAAAAACCCTGTACACTTTTGTAGGCTAAAGAAATTAGCTCCATAAAATTTTAGAAGTCTATATTTTTACATGCTTTCATATGAATGTTAGAAAAGGCTTCTGAATGAAAAAAATATGATGATAATTTGAAAAATAGAATTCAAAAGGAAAATTTGGACATTCATCAACATCATGGTGACACACATGTGTAAAATCAGCCTCCCACAGAACTCTACACACACACACACACACACACACGCCCTTTTTTTTTTAATAAGATAGGCTTCATTAAGTTGTCCTTCAATAATAAAGCTCACTGTGCCATTGTGGGCGATACATGGGCTTCTACTGTTGGAGCGTCTCTACATCTCGCCTGTTCCTTCTTAGCAGTTAACAAGAATTGGCCTACAATAAAAGTTTTGGATCTTCATCCTAGGGATTTCAGATTGGCATCATTTATTACAGCTTCCAAACATGTTTTGTTTTGTTTTTAAGTGACTGGAGTGGAAAGGCTGTAGACACTATTGGCAGGCGTTTGAGTTCAGATTTCAGGTTGACACTAAGTCTAGTTAAGCAAGCAGTGCCCATGTCACATGCCAGACTTCAAGAGTTCAGACCCTGGCCTTCGGCAGGTGAATGCAATGAACATTATTCTCTGCATCTATACAATGGGGTAAGTAAACACTATGTTAGAATATCCCTAAGAGAGTTCAATTATTCTATTCTATTCTATACTATGTGAGTGGCACATAGTAGATCCTTAATGTGAGGTAGCTAATGCTAATTAGTAAGGTGTCTATAAAAAGCATACTGCTGTTTCAGACTGTTGAGTTGATTCTGACTCATAGTGACCCTAAGCCAGGCTAGAAGTAAATAATGTTTCATAGCCTGACAACTGTCCACTTCATCCTTGGCAACACAGGAAGAAACCTTCTGTTATTGGAAGACCTCTGTGCTGACTACAGTATCAGAAACATTTTACTGGCTTTGGGTTTTAGCAGAGTATTTGTCCTGTCCCTTAAATCTTGTGGCTGATCATGTAAGGTACTGAGAACCTCTCCAGTGACATCACTGCTGGTGTGATTCCTAGATGTCCCTCTGGATCCCTTTGGACAAAGGTGCCAGGGTTTAACGCATTACTATAGCATCATTTACAGATATCATATAAGGCGATGGGATATTTCCGAGTCGGTGACCAGCTCATGAAAATAATGAAATAAAAATCTAGATACACAAAGAGTTTAATTATGCTAGACTCGGTTCATATATGTAAGGGTTTGTTACAGAAGCATATGGTCCATTAAGGGGGCCATAACATATCATATTCCTTGTGTAAGAATCCGAAGTTCAAAGACTCTTTGATGAAATGAATAACCGTTTCCCGTAGTTCAGACATTAAGTCGCCTATGCACGTTCCAAATGCAGAAGCTTCAATAAGGTGTTAATATCCTTCCTCTAGGAGAAATGTGTAAAATATATAAGACTCTTAGAAAGAAGAAACAGTTTCCTTACAAAATAGCTACTATCCTTAGAATTTGTTGCTGGTCTCCGAATGTGAATCTACATAAATCATTTCAAAGACATTTCATCTCTTTAAAAGAATGCCCAATGTTGGGTTTGGTTTGCTCTCACCACTGCCAAAGTTTCTTCTCCCTCTAGACCACTCGAAATAATTCTCTGGTCCCAACTTTTTCTAATCATGGCTTGTTAACGATAAACTTTGATCTGTGTCATGTGAGGAAACAAGAAAATCTCTAAGAAAAAAAAGCCCATCTATCAATCATCAAAATTGCAATAGAGAAATCTATTCCTTGGTAAGTGTGAACCTCTGTCATTTCAAGTAAAGTAAATTATTCTTGCTCTTCTATGGTATTGCCAATCTCAATGAAAACCATGAAGTGGCAGTTGATATGGCCGCTTTCCCAAGGATACTGGCCTTTCCTTGCTATTTTCCTCTTGGGCTACTTTGGGGTCTAGATTTATTCTTGGTCTGTTCACTCACTATAGGGAGTAAGTAGGCATGTGTTTTCTGTGGGGATCCACACTTGAGTGAAAGAGTGAAAACGTGCTCACATTTTATTCACTTCTGAGTTTCTGATAGTTAAAACCTGAGAGTTCTTCATTCAACAGACACTTTGCAATTTATCGTTGAATGAATGGAAAACCTAAGTCATGAGTCTCCGTTCCCAAAGTTCTCCCTTTCCTTTCTAATAAGGAGAAAGGTGGCTAAAGCTAGTCTTTTAAAGGCTAAGCTGTGATTCTGATCGCTAGGCTTCCCACAGTTCTTCCATGCTTGTGGGAGAAGAACGTGTAGTGTGTTTTTGTTGGATGGAGCGTTGCGTATATATCTATGAGGTCAAGCATGTTGATTGTGTTCTTGAGCACTGTTTGTCTCTTTTGAGTGTTTTCTTGATTTTCTGTCATCCTTGAGAGTGGCATGTGGAAGTCTCCTGTTACTACTGTTGAGGTGCCTATATTCCTTTTTGTAATTCTGTAAGAATTTAATTGATATATTTTGAGGGTCTTTCATTTGGTGTATATATGTTTATTATAGTTATATCTTCTTGGACTATTGATCCCTTGAACATTATGTAGTGTCTGTTCTTGTCTCTTATTATGTGTCTATTTTATACAG